TCAACGGGCTATGCAAAGGATTTTTGATGATATGCTTCACAAAAGCATTGAATGTTATGTTGATGATGTGGTCGTAAAGTCAAGAAAGCGAGAAAACCACCTTGCAGATTTGAGAAACGTTTTCGAACGACTAAGGAGATATCAACTCAAGATGAATCCACTCAAGTGTGCGTTTGGCGTCAAGTCTGGGAAATTTCTTGGGTTCATTGTTCGTCATCGAGGGATAGAGATCGAGCAACCGAAGATTGATGCTATATTGAGAATCCCCGAATCTCGTGATATTCATGAACTCAAAAGCTTACAAGGAAAACTGGCGTATCTTCGAAGGTTCATATCGAATTTGGCCGGTCGATGTCAACCTTTCAGCCGTCTCATGAAAAAAGGTGTTCCATTTGAATGGGATAAGTCTTGCAAGAATGCTTTCGAAAGCATAAAGACGTACTTGATAAAGCCTCCTGTGCTGGTTGCTCCTGTGCCCGATCGTCCATTGATTCTTTATATAGTTGCTCAGAAGCATTCCGTTGGGGCTTTATTGGCTCAAGAGAAAGATAATGGAAAAGAAAGTGCTTTATACTACCTTAGTAGGATGATGACGCCAAATGAATTAAACTACTCGCCCATCGAGAAGATATGTCTGGCGTTAATCTTTGCAATCCAAAAGTTAAAGCATTACTTTCAAGCTCATACAGTTCGTCTTGTCTCAAAAGCCAATCCACTTAAGTATGTTATGATGAGGCCGGTGCTCTCTGATAGACTTGCAAGGTGGTTGTTGTAGCACAAATTGTTATTTTTACCGAGTACCGAATCAAATGATTCGTTCCCCGGGTCGATCTCTCGAGGAAGGCGGTTCGGAATTTAGAAGTGGTATTGACAACACACAAAAGGAAAACAAATCCTAAACACTCTAATCAGATAAGGGGGTAGAATAATTACCAACTAAGAAATAGTACGAAAACAAAAACGAACCTAAAATACGAACTAGAAAGCTATAAAGAAGCTAGGGAATCGAGGATAATTTATTCAAGTTCTTAGCAAACGGGCAATCAATTGTTCGGTTTGAGATTGACACTCTCGCTTAAACATCTAGCGGTTCGCTCCCAATAACTCTTCGTAACAAGGGATTGAACATAGACGAACAAGCTCGAGCATACAACACATGTCAATTATCCCAGTTTCAATAACTTTTCGTAACAAGAGACGGGTTATCGACAAGTACGTATTTCAATCCAAAACCTATAGACTATTCAGTTACGAAATCATCTATCTCATGCGAGCCTAGGTCTACGACTTCTCCCCTTTCGGTTCTAAAAGTCGCTAATTCAATTAGAAGGTGTTTAATCAACTAATCATATAGAATCAACAAACCCTAACTCGACAATCAATATTCAATTGATACCAATTGCAAGATCGAAGTGTCACCCTTCGATTATATCAAGTTATCAAGCAAGAATAAATTAACCCTAACTAAAGCAACTCGCACAAGCATGAACAAATTAAAACCCAATAATAAAGAAATTAATCAAGAACAATCATCCCCTATCCTAGCAGAAGGAATTAGCTACGTAAATCAAATTCAACAAATATAATCATTCTACTCAAGTCAACCATTATTCATGAATTAAACAAGAGAAAGAAATTCTTACAATAAATCGCAATTCCAAGTGTTGAATCTGTATTGAATTACAAGCTTAATTCCTAAGTACTATGAAAAAGAAGAAGAAAAATGGAAAAGAAAGGTGAAGAGAAGAAGAAAAATGATGGAGAAGATGAAAAGGGAAGAAGAAAAGAGCTGTGAGTTTTTCCCCGACCCCTAGGGTTTTCACCCCAGAAGGGAGAATCCCTAAAACGAGTTCCCGTGCACATAGTTATAAGAGAAGTCGGCCACGGCGTGAGAAAGGCGCGACACGGCGCGGTGGGAGGTGCTGTGCCGCGGCGCGGGGGTGCGGGCTGTCGGCGCGGCGCGGGGCCTGGGCAGGTGGGCAGCTCGCACAACTTTGCTTCTCGGGTCCGTTTGAGCTCGTTTCAACTCGGAATTTGATTCTGCTTTTTCCTGTGTGTTCCCAACGAACTCCTCTATCTACTTATGCTAGCCCAACTAACTTTCGCCCAAAATTCGATCTTTCTGAAGCTTTCGTCCTATACACCATAAACGAGGAAAAAAACGAAAGAAACATACGGAAAACACATAGAAAACCAAAATAGAGATAAATACACAATAAACTATAAAAACGAATAAAAACCACATAAACGACTCAAAATGGGGGAAAAAGAACGAGAAAATGGACACGAAAAGCGTAACAAAAATGGGACAAACAGTGGTATCTCTATGTTCCTCAAAAAGCTGTAAAAGGTCAAGTCTTGGCGGACTTCTTGGCTGATCACTCAATCCCTGCTGAATGGGAGCTGTCTGATGAGTTACCCGACGAAGATGTGCTGGTCATTAAGATAACTCCGTCATGGAAGATGTATTTTGATGGAGCGGCCCATCGAGAAGGGGCTGGTGCTGGGATTGTCTTTGTGACATCTAACGGAGAAGTTCTGCCTTACTCATTTACTTTGACCGAGAATTGCTCAAATAATGTTGCTGAGTATCAAGCTCTTATACTTGGGTTAGAGATGGCAGTTGACATAAAACAACTACGTTTGAATGTGTATGAGACTCTAAACTCGTGGTTAATCAATTACTTGGAGAGTATGAGGTGAAGAAACCTGAGTTGCTTCCATATGTAAACTACGACAAGAGACTTATGGGATGGCTTGGTGATGTGACAATTGATCATGTGCCGAGAAAGGATAATAAGCAAGCCGATGCACTCGCAAAACTTACTTCAACGCTCACCTTGCCTAAAGATAAAGCTCATGTTTCTATCTGTAGGAGTTGGGTAGTACCGCCAATATTCGATGAGGAAGAAGATGATAAGAAATATGAGAATCACGCCATTGAAGTTTTTGAGATTGAAAAGGAGGATTGACGTCAGCCTCTTGTTGATTACTTGAAGTACGGGAAGTTACCTGATGATCTGCGAAAAAGAGTTGATGTGTGACGGCGTGCACCTCGCTTTATCTATTATAAGGGAACTCTCTATAGGCGATCTTTTGACGGAGTCTTTTTGAGATGCTTGGGAGATGATGAAGCAATTCAAGCAATGGAGGAAGCTCATTCTGGAATTTGTGGTGCTCACCAATCAGGCCCGAAGCTACATTTTCGGATCAAAAGAATGGCGTACTATTGGCCCACCATGGTTAAGGACTGTATGGACTATGCCCAACGATGTCAACTTCATGCAAACTTCATTCACCAATCACCCGAGCCGTTACATCCTACCGTCGCTTCATGGCCGTTTGATGCTTGGGGACTTGATGTGGTAGGACCTATGACAAAGTCTTCTGATGGTCACTTATATAGTTTGGCTGCAACGGATTATTTCTCTAAGTGGGCTGAAACAGTGCCTCTCAAGGAAGTGAAGAAAAAAAAAAGTCGCCGACTTCATCCGTCTTAATATCATCTATCGTTATGGGATCCCTCGATATATAATAACGGATAACCGTTTTCAAACAGTCATGTTGACAAGCTTTGCGAAAAATTTAGCTTCAAGCAACGAAAGTCTTTCATGTATAATGCTGCGGCTAATGGACTTGCTGAAGCATTCAATAAAACTTTGTGCAATTTGCTGAAGAAAGTGGTTGCGAAATCGAAACGAGATTGGCACGAGAGGATAGGAGAAGCCTTGTGGGCATACCGTACCACCTTTAGAACGCCGACTCAAGCTTAATATCCAAAATATAATTAATCAATCAAATTGATTAATTTAGTATATTCCTTTAATTGATATCTAATCAAAATTAGAATTAATTAAATAATCAAATTATTTAATTAATACTTGTCAATTAATTCTAACTCTTTAGAAATACTAATTACAAATGATCTACATTCAAAATTGGGTGTGACCTTTTTAGGTCCACTATTAATACTAGTAATGGGTTTACAACTCCTTGTAATTTGAATTAATCAAATTAATTCTTATTCTTTGAATTAACTCCTTAATTCAAGAACCCCCATATCATGGGAACATCTAGAAAGTAGCATGAATCTAGTATTAAGTGAATAGCGAGTAAACCTTTTCGATTACAAGTCCATACATGTAAAATCTTTTCGACATCCAATTTTTCGATTAAATCTTAGGTATGATTTAGTCGAAACCCAAATTGATTTAATAACTATGATTCCATTTCAAGTTTAATAATTCATATATGAATCTCTATTCATTCCGCCTTGGCCAAGGACTTTGAATTACAAACTATGAAACACATAGGAAATTCACTTATCTCATAAATGTCGAATCCTTTGTTGGCCACTGACAAACTTCCATTCATATTAATATAATACCCAAAATATCCCTTTATACGACTGTGCTAGCAATCAAAAGGATAAATCAAAGTAAAATATAATATGCACAAAGTTACTATCGTGCCTCAAGTCTAAGGATCAATCATGTACTATTGTAACATGAAAATTCTTATTCGACATAATAAACTTTCATTCAGAATTTTCATACGGTCATGTTCAGTGAACTTGTTCTCTAACAAGCACCCACATATATGTATTTGCGATCCACGCTAATGTTGATGGAATGCAACATTCTTGTCAAACAAGTATACATCATATGTACAAGTCTTTCCGGATTATTCGATATCCCATCTCGAAGTATCCAACGACTTGGAACTGTATTTAAGATCACAGCTTTAAAGATATGTTCCATGATTACCATTAAATGCGCAACCATGCCTTATAGCCATTAATGATCTAAGGACTTTATCATATGTATAAATATAGGATAAATGCAAAAACATAAGATAAAATAATGCTTTAATAATATAATTCCAATAAATTGTTTTTACAAGTAGAAATAAATCCAATCTGATTGGAACGCCGGGTATTCTACTCCAACATTGCAGTTATCGTCCATCTCGAATTTGAGAGGGATTATCCCCTTTCACCGTCAAATTCGTTGCCCGTCTTCACCCTTGATATCAAAGCTATCGAAATTATCCCGCTGGAGGGTAGAGAATTGAAACGGGATTCTCGGGGATCTGTGCGGTTCGCATTCACGGCGGGTACAGCTTCTTGAGTATGCCGATCTAATTTCTCTCGTCTCGTGGCACCGGCTAGGACGGCAGTGAAAGAGGCGGCTGTCGGGCCGATTCAAGCAGTCGCCGGCGACCAGTTGTGAACCGGTGAGGGCAATCTGCGGTGGTGCAGTGTGTGTGCGTTTGTGTGAGAGAAAGAGAGAGGCGGAGAGGGGAACAGAGGCGGCGAGCAGGAAATCTGTTTCCGGCGGTTGAAGGCTGCGGACGACCGGTGACGGGCGACGGTGGAGCTGTTTCCGGCGGGTGAATTGGTGCAGTGCGTTGCGTGTGTGCTAGTTGGTGTGTGTGTGTGTGTGTGAGAGAGAGAGAGAGAGAGCCGTATAAGGTGATTGGAATGAATTAATGTTTATTTACATCCTTACCCTCCAATTGATATGTCAATTAAGTTTCAATGCGCCGTGGTGACCATCAGATTGTGTTGATCTTGTGTACCAAATTTATTCCTATTTCTCGCGCATTAAAAGTCATTCTCACCAAATCTCAACCCTATAGATACAGATATAAGTTCATATCAGACCAAATCAATTTATTCAATGAAAACAAAAGTTGAAAAATTGTCTGAATCTCCTCGTTTAGGATATCTCGTACTTTCAGCAATCATTCAGTTGAGCATATTTATTTTAAATAAGAAAATTCTGAAAAGTCATCATATAGTCATTAATTATTTATTTATATGTTTGGTTCAATAGGGAAATCTTAATTGTACATAATATATTTTATATTTTAAATATACTCATGTGAGCGAAATCTAATATTTATAAGAAATATGATGATTTTAAATAATTTAATGATGCTTTATCAACACAATGAGAGGTTTTTTATTCTATTTATTTTATATGATGTTTAATTAGTCTTCAGATTGTGTTGTTTGTTTGTATATGATGCATGGATTCAATGCGAACTTGTATGGCTTCTTTTTCCCTCAGGAGAATAAAAGAGATCATGTAATTCTTTTAATCAATTTGTGTAAAATGAAAAAATCAATAGATGTTGCAAAATGATTCCTAAATTAGTGGCGCAATAATTTTGTGGGAAGTCTTAATTGAAGATTACGGAGGGTGTATTCTTTTAAGAATCCTAAAGACTTTTTAGGATTAGTACTAAGAATAGGATTTTATGGAATTTTATCAATTCTCATGGATTTTATAAGATTTATTAGAAATCCCTCAAAGTGACATGTGGTATTGTCCAGGAATTCTGTAGATTTCTTAAGACTTTTCAAGAATTTTGTAGACTTTTATTATTGAATGAATAAGCATCAACATTAATATATAAATATACCATCGTGAGAACTTGTTAGAAGGTTTATATATGAAAGAAAATAAAAATCAATTTGAACAAGGTGAATTTTCTATTTTATTGTTTGTTTATTTATCTTTTTGTACAAAAAATAGTCCAATTTGTTATAATTTTCTATTATATTCAATAAACCATATAATCTCAAGACATACAATAACTGTATTTTTTTGTCTCACTTATAATTTTTTATTCTATCAAATCAACCACATAATCTCATGAAATAATTATATTTTTGACTGATAACATTTATAACAGTTATGTTTGAAACACATATTTGGTGATATTATGATAATAATGTCTAACAATAACTTATCTTTAAAGAGATTCTATAAAATTTTGTGTGGCAAAATTAAAATATTGGAAAATATAAAGTAAAAAAATCAATAAGATGCAAATTCAATGAACACAAAAGTTTGGAGTCTCATAAAATTTCATATAAAATAAAAATGATAAGCAAGTCCAATTTCTACTTTATAGCATACTCCACATTTTATTTGCTATTGCATCCCTCCATGCATTAGTGGCCGCTCTTTGTTGTTCTTGACTTTCAAAAAATGGACCAAAATTATCTCCTTCGGTTATTGGACAAGATTGACTTGTTTCTTGTTCAAGTTCGGCTGGAAATCTTTTAAAGATTATGATAAATAGCGTGAGACGAGCCATCTGTTTCATAAATACAAAATGATATCACGCTAACAATCTTCATAAAGCTAAGCATACTAAGATAGATCATGAGAGCAAAATGATCTCAAACTGAAACCTTATTAATACCTAAGACTATATTATGCAACCTAGATTCAACAATCTCAAGCTGACAACATATTTGTAGTTGCTGCAGGGAACATGGCAATAGCCAACCTCTCCGGATTAGAGTATTTCCTCCTAACAACTTTTAAAGAGTAGTGAAGTGTACATTACATCAAAGCATTAGCACATGAAGGATCACATGGTTTTGTAATCTAATTATAAATAATGTACTAATGATTTACCACTAAGATATAATGGTCGTCATACTATCATAGCCAATTTCACCGACAGTGAGTATCATGCTCATTTGCAGGCATTTTTGTTGTACTATGTTCTCATTAGTCATAGATGTAATGGTCGTCGTCATACTATTATATGGCCTGTGAACGATGGCAATGCCCAAAACAGTTAATATTTCTTTTAAAAAAAATCATGTAGTGCGACACTAATCATTGGGTTATCACTAGTAATGAGTAAGAAGAAATCTTGGGCAAACTAATACAGAAGGCATTGTTCAAAGAGCACTAGAGGCTCTTGGATCTACCAAAGATATAATGTTGTAGACTTGCAGAAAAAAGGCAACCTTATCTTATCTTGTATCTACAAAAGCTACAAAGTTAATACAATGATCATATAACTATAAGTCAACAAGAAACGATTTTCTTTACACAAAATAAATAACAATTCTTGAACAGAATAAATCAAGTAAAAATCAACGCCCTCAGATTTTTTTTTTGCTGAAAGAATGAATGGTCAAAAGTAGAGAAATTTTACATAAAAATCTCAATTGGAAGAGAAAGAGGCTGTAAAAGATTGGACTACATCTGTTTTTTTTTCCCCCTTTGGTGAGTATACTTAGTAGTAACTGGTAGCCAAAAACTAAAAAGAATCAGTTTTTAAGTTTCCATGGAGATTGAACGGCCTATATTAATTTATTTTTTTCCTTGCCCTCTTTTTTTCATCTCCAGCAGCTAAATTGATTAAAAGAAGTTCGTTCAGGCAGGCATGCAGAATGTTTTTCTACCATGAAATTAAGGAAGACAAAAAAATGAATGTTGATATCTTGAGACAAAAGTCCCAATTAATTAAGTGTGCTTCTTGGCACGGCCACCTGAAGGAGCAGCACCGTCTTCTTTCTTGGCACCAGATGCCTCGGGCTTCTTGGCCCAGGCTGGAGCCCTGTCAGCTTCATATCGATAATCGTAAAATAATTCTTCCCCAGCAGAAATTCGTTCTTTGGCAAATATACCAACCCTGTGATCCCCAGCCACCATTATGACCTGCAAAGACAATTCTGATTAATACAACCAATAATTGGGAAAACAAAAGATGAAGATTGAAAAAGAGAGCCGTGTAATTGGTACATGACAAAATCTTTAAGGTTAATTAGCACCAAAAAAAAAAAAAAAAANNGAAAAAAAAAAAAAAGGAAAAAGGATTGAGAGAAGGGAAATGAGATAATATTTTGGGGTTAGAGAAGGTATTCACCAGAAATCGTACATCACCATACTAAATATTTGTATCACTCTTGGGGTGTAACATGACGAAAATATTCTTGCAAGAGAAAAGTGATACTAGGTCAGAGGCACGATTTTTGCAATAGTCTTTTTAAACCACATACCTTAGCATAGCAATTCGGAACAGGGGAATGATTGGCAAACTTTAATTTGTCGCCCTTACGGTATGCATCAAGCACAAACTGAACCATAACAAGGGAAAAACACAAGTCATTCGAGCACTTTCTTATAAAACTAATTGTTTTCTGACGTCATGATAGAAGATAAGATAAAACATGCCTGATCATTTAAATTAAAGAGAAATGAGGAATTTTCACGATCATAGATCTTGCCCCGCTTGTCAGCTTCACGGTGAGAAATAAGTTCACCAGTGTACTCTCCAAGGTATTCATGCTTCCCAACACTATTCTGCAATTCAAGTTATGTGAGCTTTGAAGAGGAAAGCGAACCGAAAGCAGCCTAAAACCTGTATATGTTGTGAAATTTACCTTTAAGAAAGCTCCCCAGCCAGATACATCAGATCTTCCTAATAGAACCTGAAAATGGGAATTAGCAGAAAGAAATAAATGATAGTTTTGCATAACCATCCTCCTCAAGGTACTGACTAAAACTTGTGAAATTCAATGAAACTATTCAAACCATGAAAAATGACGGATGGACAAAATTACAGCAACAGAAAAGCCAGAAAACAGTGCAACTTTTGCATTTCATGCATGCTCAATCAGTTAAGAAACTTAGAGCAAGAAAGTAGTGCACTTAATAGATACTATTGGAGGTCAAAACTGAAATTGCATCACTGATGCATCAGGGCTTGAAACACCACCTCAATATCGAAATAATTATAATAGAGGAGTTAGAACACTTGTGGTGGGTATAGGTCACTCACATGGAAAACGAGAATTACACAACGAGCCATTTCAAAATATTAAGCCTTCAAGATACCAAATGAGAATATATAATGATTTTCTCCGAGAAAAATGCAAGTTTGAGATAGAGGTCAAACAACTTAGGAAACATGTTGAGCTCAATCTTACAGATTGGGGAAAAGGAACAAAGAATTGTATAACATCACTCATGCATTATGGCACTTTAACACCAACAAGTTCCTTTGAGAAGATTAGCAAGACCCAATTTATAGCACTGAGGATAGGTCAGACAAAATTACCCTCTGTTGCTGCTTTAGAAGAAGCTTCATATTCCTGCATTCGTAATTATCACCTCTTTGGAAGGGTACCCCCAGGGTTCCATCACCACAGCTATCAAACAAAACCAAACAGTATAAATACAACTTTGAAAAAAAAACAAAAAAAAAATCATCCGCAACCCTAAGAAATTACATAATCTTGAATACTGGTAGTTGGTATCAAACAGATACTAGAATATCGCACCTAATCCTATAAATTCATATGTGATAGAATCACAATGCAAAACAATTCCATAGACCAAGGAAAGTATTATTCCCAGGCAAATGAAAGAAGCCCTTATCAATTGTGAAAAATTCTTGTAATTTAAAAGCCACCACCTATCCAATTTTGCAAAAAACATTTGATTCACATATTTACCCCAAAAGATTCACCCAAGAACCCGTACATGGTATGGTCCTAACTCATTACTCCTTTTATCTTTCCTTTTGCCACTCTTTTGTTTCACCTTTCCATCCTTCTCCAGCAGCCCCACCCTCTAATCCCTGAATCTTTCGGCATTATATGCATATGCATGTATATATATACACGGGAAAGCATAGACATGAACAATGCAATAATATATATTCAACTAAAGGTTCCACATTTGTATATGAACTATCTCTGAGTATATATGTAAATAATTAGAGTCACGATAAATTTTAAGCAAGGAAGGTGCAAGTTACAAGGGAGTGCCCACTGGTTCTGTTGAACCAAAAATTTAAACATTCATTGCCACTGGCAACCATGATCCACAGGAACTCTCTGAAACCACAATTTGTGCAATGTTTAACACTTTAAGTATTAAATATTAATCTTCTTGATGCAAGCAATGATCGTGCTCATGGCATCTCACCCTCAACTGATATTCCAGTAATTTAAGTGTATCCAAGAACAACTTTGCAAGTGTTGGACTTCTTAGTTACTAATTCTTTGCTCCTAACATAAAAGCAAGTCTTGTCAAAAAAATCCCCGATCCACCAACTACAGTTTGTCCATATACATCAAACAATGGCCAATTCCAGGTTAATCATATATTGTAAACATAGATAAAATAAGACATTCAGTGGATGAATCACCCTATCCAGCAATTTCGGCAGACATCTGGGTCGCACTCCCTATCAGCAGCAAAGCATGGGCACTGACGGCTTCGACACTGACTCTTAGCACAATGACAGCCTCTGAAGCGATTCTTGCAGCTCTTTGGGCATCTGACACATAGGATATAAAAAAACTTAGCGAGTCATTAGTGCCTGAACCTGAAGAATAAGAACATTCAATTTTATAGACAGAGTGAAGCTTCACAGTGAAGAAGACCAAATAAAATTTAAGGCACAAACAGAAGAACAGAAAAGGCGGAGGGACAGAGAATTCAAAACTTAAACTGAAAAAACCCAAACCTAATTATGATATCAACAGCAAAATCAAATATAGCCAGCTCACCCGCAGTATTTTTCGCAGCAGGTACCATTAATAAGACAAGGGCATGTTTTCCCACATGCCGATTGGCATCCACAAGGACTGTACTGCCGACATGGCTGATCCTTCCTTTCAGAAATCCTCTTCCTGAAGGACTGAGAACCTGCAGATTTCCATGTGTACTTTAGGCGACGGACTCTTCCTTTTCGCCGTAAAAATCTCGATCTTCTACGTGCACCATTGCCCTATTCCACACAAAATTAACATACACAATCTACTTTGGCGAAGCCATTTATCACAGCAAAGAAGAAATATAAAAGACTTGCCACAATTTCATTGACATCAGCCTTTAGACAGCCATCTGGAAGGATCATCCCATCACCATCTTGAGACATCTTTTTGTCAGAACGATGCATGTATTTGAAGATCTCTGAACAGGTCTTCAAGCCACTCATGAGGTTCCTAGCTATCAAGCAGCTGAATGACACACAATTCGTTCTTAGAAATAGGATACATTAAGTGCAACCCAAAAAGTCAGTGAGCTAAACTAAAATGAAGTCTATGTAGAGTGAAAAGGCTTGGTTAGGAATTATACTTACAAAATTGCTAATCTATCTGTTATTTAGTTGATAAATATGAATTGGAGAACATTACAGTGTGCTCATCGCTTAGGAGAGTAACGACATGAAGATGGCAATATCCATGAAAGAAAACTTCACACAAGAAACGTGGTTGAGATACAAAACAAACACACAAACCAGAATGTAGTCTAACCTGTTGCGGCCAAAAATCTGAATACCCTTTTCATAGAGAGCTTTCTCAAACGGTTTCCAATATCTATTGTCAATTATTTCTTGTTTGCACATGTTCTCATCGATAAATTCCTCTTTCTTTAAGCTGTTGCCGCTGCTTGACATTGGTTGGCCACTATCACTTTCATCAGATGCACCACTGATGGCATCTCCCTGCAAAGGTTCGGACACTTTCCGTCTAGACTTCAGAGAACTTGTAGATTTCATTTTAAGAGAAGAGATACCATCTTCATTATCTTGACAATTTAAGTTTTTCATATTGAGTCCATCAGCAGCAACAGAATCAGAATCAGATGTTGCCATCTTCTTCTGCCTTTTCTTTTTGGCAACTACGACATTTTCAGCTATTCTCTTACTACTCCTTTTGTCCCCACCAGACTTCCCAGCACCATTTACAGGTGAAGTAACATCATTAACAGGTTTTGTATCCGAGGAAGAAACACTTCCACTTTGACAAGACTTAGATTTCTTCCTGACCAGTGAAACTCCCTTCTTTTTCTTTAGCACTTGCACAGTGTTTCCATTTGATGCAAGCAAAGATTTTTCTTCAAAATTTGCTGATCTAGAGCTCTTGTCATCTGACCCATGCACCTGCTACAGAAAAAGTTAGTAATGAATGCTTAAGACACAGATGAAACATGGAGAAACTACCTGTTGGCTTCAAGTAATTGACATGGAACATATTATTAGCCCAAGGCCCAAAGAGCTCCAAAAGTAGTTACTATAACTCAGTAAGGCAATGCATATATAACCATAGTTGATCAATGTATCCTAGTAGTCGAAAGAAGGCAGTGAGAAATATTGGATACCAGATGATGGCAATTTGGGCCACATGGTTCCTTCTCCACATTCTGACATGACCATGCTGATTGTTTTTCCGCCTAAACAAATAAGATTGATGTCACAAGGAACCTGGACAGACCACTGATAACAACAAAAATCATTATCAAACGAGATAATCAACTTACAGGAAATACAAGGTCCTGGGAACACCCATGTAATCTACAATCAAAAACCTGCCACGTGAAGGGGAGTAGTTTGGAATGATGTCAATTTGAACAATGAACTGATATGCGAAGCTCAACTGAATGGTGGGAAGGGAGAAGAGAAAGGAGATGAAGTATAAGTCATTCTTACTAAACAACGGCGACAAAACAGGTTATCGAATGAGTCCAGAGCAGCATCAAGATCCTTGTCAATATATGGATTCACAAAACTTTCAGCATTCGCATTGTTCACACGATATAAAGCATTGTTACTCTTCATAAGATCATCATATCTTCCCTGTATAAGATTTCAATGGTGGTTTATCTCTGTAAAGCCAGCAAACACAAATGGGAAACAGCTGGACCAATGTTCTCGCTGTGACCGGTTCTTTTTAATTTTTCTCCAATGCATAAATGTGAACAAATGCCCAATAAAAGATAAAGACAGTCGCATCATTAGTCATCTGAGGTTACAGTGAATACCTTGATTTCACAAGGTTTTCTTGACAGACACTGGGCCAACATATCCAACGTCAAATCAGAAAAGCCAACTTCTTTGATGGTTGTTCTGAGAAAACCAAATACAAAATAGGTATAGCAACAAAAAAAGTATCATATTAGTTACACAAATTTAATTCTGCCTGCCTATTATCCCACACAAAATAAGAATTTCCTTTCAATTAAGCATACACATAGCAACTGGGAAACTAAAATGACAGCCTTGCACTGAAAAGAAGAAAAATATACATCAAAAATTTTGTGAGGACTGTTCATATATGTGATTCTATAAATTAACACACCATCTAGAAGCAGATTAATACCATATGCCTAAACAATGGAAAGACTGTCGTGTCTACCCTACCATTAGCTTTCTACTTTTGTTCATAAAGACCAAAAGGAAAAAAAATCTTTCACAGGGTCCAACAGAATAGCTGCAGGAAAGGCTGATAAATTATTCACTGGACAATTATCTTTGGAGAGCTAATCTGGACCGAGAAAACAAAAATCAAATACTCAGAAAAGAAGGGAAGTATCAGTGTATCATTGAATCTCAAAATTTGGATCACATTTAGAGAACAAATCTATTTTTAAGCCGAAGAGAAACAAAAGGAAAGACCAAAGTGAGACCACAGGCACTGCACCAAATCTACCGACCGCAGAATATAATCTTCAGACTCTAAAAACTCTTTCTTTTCTTCTTCATCCTCAACTGCTTCTTCTTCACTATCACTACATATAAGAGCTTCGCCGCCATTCTGGTCATAATAGATTCTCCTCCTACCAACCACTGACTGATCCTCTGTCATTCTTTGATTTCTGAATAAATAAAAGAATATGATTACCACATCAAAAGAAACTATAGGATGAAACATTAGTGTTTAATAAGATGCCATAAAAGGGCAAACAAGGTTTCCACAGACACTATGAATTCCAGAAAGCATAAACAGGGGAGAAATTTGGCTGGAGCTGGCATGTGACTGTTTTGAGTTTAACCAATTTATTGAAGTATATGGCAAGAGCAAAGGATATTAGTCTCCATTTTTCAACACTAAAAACTGATGCACACTCACTTAATCCCTAAATGATAACATTAGTAGATCCTTACTGCCCTCTTCAATATCAACCAATTTGTATATTTTCTTTTATTCAATCTATTTAAACTTATAAGGTGACATATCAGAGTGGAAGCTTTTTGAACCCAGTATTCACCAATACAGGCCTAAACTTCCAAGCATCCAAAGGAAACAAAATAAAATGTTAGAAAGCAACAGCAACACAATGACTGACACAACAAAAATAAAGGTTTCATGCAACTGAATATAAGTATTACTTAGGAAGAATTGAAAGGGAAATGGAACAAAAATAATGTCTGTATATTTAGCGATAACAATAAAATAATGGTGAGAAGAAATCAAAGATACTTACTTTAAACTACTTAGGGTATTTGATCATACATGCAAACACCAACCCTTGAGTCAACAAATGCTACCCATCCGACATTAATTTAGATTTTACTCAAAAACATTATTTACATGCAAAAAAACTAATAATCCAAAAAATGATAATGACAAGATATGATAAATCCCAAAGCTTTTTCTACGGACTTCACCATTTAACTCGGAGGATGGTTGTTATTAGGAAGACACGCCAACCAATGTGATAAGTTAATTGTTTTATTCATAAATATGAAAACATTTGGAAGACAAAGGTGAGATTAAGTTTGCAGGAGCATGAATATAGAATAAGCTCAACACATTTTTCGGTGTGCATTGCAGTCTTGATTCACCTATCCAAGAAGATCCATGTTGTGTACGGTGGTAATTTCTTCACTTCAGGCAGCTTAATTGGACGCACGGCATTCTTGACTGCAATGCTTGATCCCAAGAGAATTGCTGAAGGGGCATATCCATCATCTTGGGAACTACTGCTTTCGTTATCTCCATTACTGGTGCCAATACCATTATGCATATCTATAGCATCTTTTTGCCTCTTTGCCAATAAATCTACACCCCCATAACCACAATTCAACTTAGTATTTCTTCGTTCCATAGATAACTTATAAAGATTCTTCATAACATCAACCACTTTTTCAGTATTTTCTTGCAGCCGTTTCTGGGAAGAGAAAAGAAAGACAAGAGTTAACAATTATCGTGAACTTGGAAAAACGGGTTAGTAACGATCATGCATCATGAACGCACCTTTATGCGGTCAGATCGGTTAGAAGCAACTTGTTTCTTTAATGAATCAATTACAGCTAATACTTCCTCCGCAGATGAACTTGTTTCTTGCACTCCAGCAATCTGTCCAGTAGACTTTTTTAAATGATCAACTTCATGAAGTGGTCAAAACAAGCTAATTCTCACGAGTATTTTCACCCCCATAGTTTAAAAGAAGCTAAATTTGAACTGAACTTATTTCAAATTCACTGATTGACAAATTAATAATTATATAGATATATCCAAACGGAACACATTGGAGGAAACAAAAAGAATCACTATATTTGTAATACATTCAATTGATAATGACTTAATTCAACAGTGTTTGTGGTCAATGAACATATATTGAATTAACATGCAGGCACTGAGAAGGAGAAAAGAAACAAAATCCATACTGAAGCTCAAGATTCCACTCATACTCAATGGCTGAGTTCCTACAAAGATCACCAGGTAACAGAATTATTAAATGATACAGTCAATCGCTAACTCTGGAGTTCCTGGTCATGCCTTGCCATCTGATAATTAATACATCAAGTCTCAAATACTAAATAAATTTCTTTCCTAATCAAACATGATTCCCTACTACTCACACTAGATTGTTCTCATAGTAAAGAAAAGGAAACTTTTCACTTCGATTAGGAATTGTATATAAATGTGGATGCCCTCTACTATCTGCCATTAATGATCTTCCAACTGAAGAACATGATTCAAAACATACTAACAAGATCGAGGCATTGAATAGAAAAACAACACAATGTACCTTCCTCTTCATGAAACAGAACAGCATAGAACCAGAAAAACACACAACATCATCCTTTTAATCCCATGAACCAGTTAATGTGACTCGAAAAAACAAAGGAAAAAAACACATAAAAAAACAAAACGCGCACAGAACAGCTCCAGCACGCAATGCAGCTGCAAAGAGGGGGGGATTTGAATTATTACCGGCAGCTCGGATCCGGAGGCGGAGGGGGAGGCTTTGGGCGGCGACATTGCCGGCGGAGGAGCTGATGAGGCCGACAAGCGCTCGATCCGGCAATGGAGCTCCGATTGCAGATCCGACTCATGCAAGGACGAGCCGTGATTTTGATTTGGCGGTATGAATTTGAAAACCCTAAAAATGGATAACTGAGGAGCTGGCGGACGTGAGGGGCCTAGAGAGAGCGCTTTTCAGCATTTGCTCTCGCTCTGTAATTTTTTTCTTGGCGGCCGTTTTATTTTCATCTATTTTCTGACGGTGATTATAAAAATATTTGTTTAAGGGACCTTTTTTGTAGGATTAATCTTTTGAGTTTTGGCTGATTACCGATTTTTGTTACTTTGACTCGAGTTTTCTGCGAAAATATACTATAATGCGTGTAATACTATTAGATTTTATGATTACAATCATGAAATATCTAACAAATTTGATAAGTATGAGCTGGACATGGAAATATGATTATTTACGGATTTATCATAATTTTATTAAATGATTATAATATGAATTCAAATTATAATCACAAAATAATTATAAGTACTAGATTTTGTGCACATGTACAAATACAAATAAAATATTATAAATTACAAGCATGCATATAATATTTAATGTATATTATATTTTATAAAGTTGGTTATAAAAAAGTAAATGACATGAATGTAAATCATTTTACGTACATATGAATAACTATACTAATTGCATAAAAATACAATGAATAACGTAATTTCTGTAATTTTGATGTATCTTGTTTAATTAATTANATGAGGGCTGCGGGCTAGCCCGCCAAAAATATAATTGGAAAAAAAAAAGGGCGAGATGAAGGGTCGCACCTCTATTTTGTAAACTTATTTCTTTTAGACTCAGATCTACAAATCTGAAATTTCTCCCCATTACACATAACCCCATCTTCCAATTCAGTCGATTCGCGAGGTTCTATTTTTGGTACCTTTACTCGCCATGAATGATAACGACGGCGATTTCGTGGTTGTGAACTTGACGTGTCTCGACTTGAGCCAAGAACAGGCCAACCAGCCATTTCGTCGGGTTGGGAGGTCAGCGACACGGGGAAGTGGGAAAGAAGAAGAAGGGAGATAGAAAATGTGGGTTGGGCTTGGGCTTGGGCTGGGACAAGAAAAAAAGGAAAGAGGGTAAAGGATAATAGAATGGGTTGGGAAAAGGGGAAACAAATCTAGGCTTTTAACTAGCCTATTGAGGTGTCTAAAAATTCATCCTGGACTTCCGAGGTCTACGAAAAAGTCTTTCGGCCTATCGAGGAGTCCAAAATTTCATTCTCGTACTACCAAAGTCTACGAAGAAGCTCCTTGTCCTACCGAGGTGCCTAAAAATTTGTCCTCTGACTACCGAGATCCAACCTAGGCCTACCGAGATATCTAAAAATTTATCCTCGGATTATCAAGTTCTCCGACGAAACCCCTCGACCTACCAAGGTGTCTAATATCCGCAAAATTATTACTATCAATGTTCTTTAAAGCAACTATTAACACTACGGACTTCGGCGGATAATAACTAGCTACCAAAGACATGCTAAGAAAAAAATTATCAGGGTCTGAGGACATTCGAAAGCTGATATCAAGCGTGGAAATCAGTGCATTCTTGAGAACTTGAGCCTCTC